CTCCCAGTGCCCTCAGTCCCCCCACCTCCAGTGCCCCCAGTCCCCCCATATCCAGTGCCCCAGTGTCCCCCAGTCTCTCCCATTGCTCCCAGCACACCCAACTCTGATGCCTCAGGGTCCTCCCAGTCCCTCCCAGTTCCCCCAGTTCCTGGCTTTCAGGCTCTGGCAGTGTCCCCATTCTTCGGATTCACGGCCCCCCAGTCCCCATCTCCCCCCACCGTAACGCTGTACCCTGTGTGGGACCCCCCATAGGGCATGGGGCTTCGTTAGGGCTGACGAGAGGTCGGGCACCAGTGTCCCCCCCAGTAACACCCACCCCCCTATTTCCATCCCCCCCCTGAAATCCCGGGTGGGGAGGAAGAGCCGGGGTCTTCCTCCCACGGAGCCCCCAGCGGCGCCGAACGCCCTTTATTACCATAACCCTTAAAAAAAACTAACCCCAGACCCACTCAGCGCCACCCACCCCCCCGTCAGAGGGCACAGGACATGGCACGGGCAGGAGAAACGGGATTTATGGCACGAATTTCCCAGTTCTCGCTGCAGGTTTCCCGGGAGAACCCGTTCCCCCCCTCCCTGGTACCGGCGCTGCTCAGATGATACCGGCCGGAGCGAAGACCGGGGGGACGCAGAGGGTCTCCCCCATCTCCCAGCCGCAGGACAACGGGGCGCAGACACTCTCCCGGTCATCTTCCGTTGGTGGGGGTTTTCCCTGGAAAAGCTGGACGGTTTTCCTGGAAAACGGGAGACACCCGAGGGGGAGCAAAGGGGAGCAAGCCCTCCCAAAATGCTGCGGGGATGGGTCTGGGGAAGGGGGATCCCCTGTGCCCCCAGAACCCAGCTGCCCCCGGCTTCCCCAGTGAAAAACTGGCTCAATTCTGTCAATATTTTAAAAAATGGAAGTTTTGCCTCTGAGGACAGATTTTTACCCTAAATCTCAGGATCTGGGACTCAGATTTGACTCATTCACTTGAGCAAAAGAGCCCAGTTGAGGGAAAGCCAACATCTCCCATGGGATCCAGCCCTGCTGACCCTCACCCCGCTCACACAGGACTATCTCTTACCAGGCCAGGCGGGACATGGCGTAGGTGACGTGTGGCTGGGGACACCCCCCAAGCGGGGAGGAGGTGGCGATGGTGTAGGCACCCATGTCCTGGAAAATCAGCCAGTCCCCGACCTGCAGCTGGGGAAGCTCCAGGCCGTCAGCGATGTGGTCCTCAGGGTGCCCCGGGGGTCCCCAGAGGCTGGTGCTGAGAGAGTGGGGCTCTGGGCAGGGTCTCTGTGGGGAACAGACGGAGTGCCACAGTGACCTGTCTCATCTTCACCCATCCCAAATCATGGAATGGTTTGGGTTGGAAGGGACCTTAAAGATCATCTAATTCCACCTCCCTGCTCTGGGCAGGGACACCTCCCACCAGACCAGGTTGCTCCAAGCCCCCTCCAACCTGGCCTTGAACCCCTCCAGGGATGGGGCAGCCACAGTTTCTCTGGGCAACCTGGGCCAGGCTCTCACCACCCTCAGTCTGACCCCAAAATCCAACCCCGTGAGCTCAGGGAATGTGGCTACAGCCCCCCTTGGCAGCCCACCACGGCCTCTTCCTCACAGCCCCTGCTCTCCTCTGGGACAGACCCACAGTTCAAAGGAGGGCATGGCTGGGTGAGGTGATGGACACAACACAAGGGACCTGCTGGGGTCTCCCCAAGTCGGGCCAGACCCTCACCTTGTGTAGCTGAGGTCTGGGGCAGGGGCTGTCAAACAGGAGGCAGCTGAAGGCGCCATAGATGCCATCGCTGAGGTGGTACACGAGGCTCCTCTTGCTGCCAGGTTCTTCTTCTGGAGGGGGAGCAAGGAGAGGGCTCAGGGGGGCTCAGGGACAAGGATGGGCCCATCCCACCGTCCCACCTACCGTCGGAGCCAGGCTGCTCCGCGGGAGCCTCTCCCATGGCAGTGACGCTGGCAGCGAAGGTGAAGGCGGAGGTGACGTAGTACCGCCCGGGCCTTGCAATGACCTCCACCCCGCAGCCCTCTGGGAAATACGAGTCCAAGGCAGAGTTTATCACGGCAGCCACCTGGATGGGAAGAAGGTGTTCCCCCTCAGTTACTCGGTCCCTCTGCAGGGAGCCAGACCCTGGGAGAACCCCCAACCTCGCTCTCTGCCTGCTGAGTGACAGCATCGGGAGCCACGTACCTCTTCAAACCGGGCTCTGGTGTCCTCGGTGCCAGGGAATCCTCCTCCGATGTCCAGGAGGCGCATCTGGTAGCCCAGCTCCATGCCCATCTCAAAGGCCAGCTGCGCCGCAGCCACAGACTGGGTGAAGGTCTGGGGCTCCAAACCACGGCTCCCGAGGTGAAAGCTGAGAGCACAGTCCCCGCTTCAGCAGGGCTCATGTGTCCCCAAAGAGCAACGAGGGGACATGGCACCAGGATTGTCACTCACTGGGGGCAGCTCTGCACTTCCCACTCACCATCCCAAGCCAGACGGGCTGAATGGCCCCGCAGAGCCCCCCACATCCTCTCTGGGGGCCAAACCTGCCCCAAACTGGCCCCAACAAGTGTCAACCTCCCCAGGTCCAACCTCCACCTCACTCCCAGACAGAGCAGCCAGTGGCCCCGTGGACCCCTCCATTGTTTGGGCAAAGCAGAGTTCCCCACACTCCCCTTCAACGTGGGCTGAGCTCCCCTATGGAAAAAAGACCACGTGCCATACCTGATGCCAACGACCTCCACGGCCTGCTCCTTCGCTGTCTCTAGCAGGTGCCGGCAGGACTTGAGCGTGGTCCCAAACGTCATGCTCGGATGGGCAGAAGGGCTGGAGTCAGCAGCGATACCCAACAACATCCTGCAGAGCAAAGCCACACTGTGTTGAGGCACCTTTGGGTCCCCCTGTCACCCCACGGAGTGACACTCCAGCTCCTGCTCCAGCCCCCCCTTCCAGTGATGCTGCCAGACACCCTACCTGGCCCGAGGGTGGCTCCTGGCCACCTTGTTCAGCTCCACCTCATTGTCAAAGGTCATCAGCTGCACACTGTGGCTGGCTGCGTATTTGATGTGGGTGACCTGCTTGCAGGGGCTGCTGTAGAAGATCTTCTCAGCCGGGACTCCGATGCTTTGAACCTGTGCAATCTCTGCCTGCAGGGAAACGGCACGCTGGTCGGCAGGTCCCTGGGCCACCTTGGCCACCACCAGCCCTGGGACTCAGCCAGCCTGCACCATTGAGAACGGCAAACGACCAGCGTTGCAGCCTGGGCTTTTCCAGGGAAAATCCACAAGAGCTTAAAGGGATCATGGTGGACTTTGTCCTGGCAGGGGCAGGTTGCAGCAAGATGTTTACAAGCAGCGTGAAACAGGAGGAGAGAAAACAAGCAGTTTTGGTGCACATGTCCCCTGTGAGCCACAGTGAGGGCGAGGGCTGCAGTGCTGCTCTGAGCTGTCATGACTCTTTGCACTTTCTCCTCCTGCTAACACGTCTTATTTAATTACGTACAACTAATTGGCTTAACTTTGGATCCTCCCTGGGAATCTGGCTGTGAGCAAATGAGAAGCAGGAGGGAGCAGGGAGCTTTAGGCTCAGCCTGAAAGCCACTGAGAGCTGGATGGCTGCTGTGGTGGCACCCAGGGGACATGCCTTGCCACCAGCCAAGCCTGCCAGCCAGGACACCAGCTCCAGGGACAGGAATGCCAGTCAAAGTCAACAACCCTGAGCCAGGAGAGGACGGGGATTTCTGGGCTGTGTTGGGAGGGTTTTGACAGCAGAGGGAGACTCCTGTCCCTGTAAATATCACCCAGTGAGTGGAAAGTTAGGAAAGGAGCCTGAGGTGACACTGTCCCACAAATGCCCAAAGGATGCTCACTCTGAGTTGTCCTCCCACGACCCTACCTTGTTGGTGCAGGCAAAGCCTGCCCCCAGCTCAGCCAGCAGCCGGATCACTCCTTCACTGCCGTTGCACTTAACCGGGAAGTAGGGTTTCACACGGGGCAAGGCCTTCAGGAAACGCAGGTGCTTCTTCACAATGTCCCCAAGGTCTGCCACGAAGAAGGCTTGCTGGTCGCTCTAGGAAAAAGCCAGAGTGAGCAGCCGTCACCTCTCCACCCGCCTCTGCCAAGGGGGTGCTGGCTGCCAGGGAGCAGCAGAGCCACCAGCCCTTACCTCCTGGCATAGCTCCACCAGGAGGTTCTCCAGGAGGTCTCTGGTGGTGAACCCCTCCTCCACCATCATGAAGTTGGATTCATCCAAGTACCCATTCATAGTCAAGGTGTGATCACGTTATTTTAAAGCCTCCTCAGGCAGGGTAAAGCCCCTTCTAGGTATGCAATTCACTGGAAAAAGAAAGGGAATGTTTGAGGCAAGGCCCAGAAGCTCCATCAGCCCACACCACCCAGCCTGCACCCCGAGGGGCTCCCCGACCCTCCCACAGGTCACACACAGCAGTGCTGCCCTGGGTAGAGCTCTCTGCCGCTCTCCTCCAAACCAGCGCCTCAGCCGAGAGCTCTATTGTGGGTTAAAGCATCTTCTCCAGGGGGAGGAGACACATTTCCATGCAGCTCAGAGCTTTGTTTTGGCACACAGCAGCCCCATCTTCTTCAGCAGCAGTTCAGGCACCAGCGCAGTTAACAACAAAGCCAAGTTCACTGCAAAGCAGATGGCCTATATATGCCAGAACACGTCCTTTCATGCTCTGGCACGTAGCTAGGTCTGCTGTAGGCTGCACAGGGTGAAGTTCCCCTGTGGTTTTCAAATAGCTGAAGTCTCACAGATCCACCTTCCCAGACACACAAGCTCCATGAAAAGAGAGGCATCTTTAAAGAGCACAGCAAGGGTCACTCGCTGACATCAGCCGACCTGGGGATGGTCTGGACCCATGCTGTGGTTCCAGTTTCACCTCTCTCCCATGACATGGAGTGTGGGACAAGGGGACAAGTTAAGCTGCACGGTGTTTCCTGGCTCACACATTTAGCAGATCTTTAGCTTTAAGCTCACACACTCAGCTTTAACAATCTCATCCCCTGGTTCCAGCTCATCCCCATCCCATAACCCAAGGAGCTGAAAACCTAGCACGAGTTTGCAGGAAACATTTCCACTCCAATAACCCAGGTCTAGCTCCAGGGTTTTTACAGGAATGTGGTCCCTCTGATCTGAAGCGATCCGGAGACAGAGGTTTCGTTTCTCAGAGCTGCAGACCAGCTCCTCCTTTGCAGAGAGACCTACTTACAACACTTCGGGTGGGAACGAGGAGAAAGACCACACTGACGCCAGAGTGGCAGGGTGTTGTAACGCATTGAGCAAACTCCAGAGATGGGGAATGGGAAGAAAAACAAGTATTTGAAGCTCTCAGAGCTTCATACTTGGGAAAGGAAAGCAACTCCTCCAGCCTTACCCTTCACTCCCCAAAGACATCACTAACCAGCACCCAGCCCACCCTGGCTGAGCACAGAAAGGATGACCAATTAAGTAGGTCATTTCTGCTAGCCCTGGGCACCCCCTCCTTACCAAGGCTCCTGGGTGACTGGTCGTGCTGCCAGGGGGGGCCCCCAAGGAACACCGAGCTCCCGCAGCACCCCGAGGTGTAGCTGCTGCCGGGGGTCCGAGGTCCCTGGGGAGAGGCAGTGCAAGGGGTTAGTGAGGGACAGGAGCACTAATGGCAGGATGCCCTCCACCCACCGTTCCCCAAACTCAGCATCTACAGGCATCCCACATCCTCACTCTGCCAGGCAAACCCGCTACCCCAGCAACCCCGCGCAGTCCCCGTCCCCCCCCATTACCTTAGATAGCATTTAAACAGATAATGCCATGGGTCTCCCAAGAGAATGAACTGGCCCCAGCAGCGGCTGTTCCTCCTGCCCCAGTTCCCTGCCTGCCCCAGCTCCTGGACCAGCTACCCCTGCAGAGGGGTAGGGGGGAGCTCTGCACCCCTTGTATCTCAGCGCCCCTCTCCCTGCTCTGCCTCACAACCGTGGCCATGGCAACCAAACCCAGCCACCCCATTGGCTGAGATGCCTCCGAGCATCCTTCATCCCTTTCAGGGAATGCTCCCCCCCCTCGCCCACCTCCTCCCGGGGCCGGGGATGCCCCAGCAGACACCCTGGGTTCTCACCGAGTCCCCGCTGCAGCCGGAGGCGTGGAGCTCTGCCAGCCTGCCTGCAGCCTGGCCCTGCTGCAAGGGCGCCCGTGGCCGCACGTGCATCGCCTGCGCAGGGACCCTCAGTGGGAAGAGAGACAAAAATACCTCTGAGAAACTGCTGCCAGGGAAACGAGGGTTCCTGCAGATTACAGGCTGAGCAGCGCCTGTTTGACTGGGACACGGGCAGTGGTAGGCAGTCGGGAAGATGTCAGGGACTCATTCTGCCCTTGTGGTGCTGCTGCCAGTTTCACTGGGTTCCTCAGCAGCAGGTCCAGCTCTGCCATAAATGCAGATGCTCCGTCTGGTCGATCAGTCCTGTCTTTGCCTGCATTTGTCCACTTGGAAACGGTTCTACTGCTCCATCCCACAAACACCACAAGCTGAGCAGGGAATTTTTTTCTTCTTGTTGTTTATTTTCAGTTCTTGCTCTGGTGTCGCTGAGGAGACAATGTTCCATGCATGCCCAGGGAGGTGGAGTAGTCTCCTTCTCTGGAGACATTCAAACCCCACCTGGACACGTTCCTGGGCCGACCTGCTCTGGGTGGCCCTGCTTTGGCAGGGGGTTGGACTGGATGATCTCCAGAGGTCCCTTCCAACCCCATGTGATTCTGTGACTTGTCTCCTTTGAGATCCTGGCCTGTTTTCCTGGTCCTCTGGCCCAGGGCCCAGCACCCAGCCCTGGACTGTGCTGTGCAGGATGAGGGAGCACTGCACTCGGAAGAGGACAGAGAGGTACCCGCTCTTGGCAGAATGGTGCAGAGCACTGCAGTGCCCACTCGCTTCTGGATGTGCCCAGCAGTGCCGTGATGCAGGGCAGCGTGGGGAACCCGTCCCACGCAGAGGCCCAACGCAGCGCTGGGGCAAGCACTGCCCCGGAGGGGGCTTTGAGCAACCTGGTCTGGCGGGAGGTGTCCCTGCCCATGGCGGGGGGGCAGAACTGGGTGATCCTTAAGGTCCCTGTCACCCTCTATCTCTTTCCAACCACAAATCTGTCTTTTTTCAACCCAAAACGTTCCGTCCTTCTGTGGCTCGGTGCGGGCAGGGCGCGCTTCCAGCCGCATAACCCCGCCCACTCCGGTCAAACCCCGCCCACTCTGGGCGAAGCCCCGCCCCTGAGTCGCGCGGCGCCGGCGTCACCGCCCATTGGCGGCGGGGCGGGGCGCGGCACGCGCAGTCGGCGGCGGCCATGGCTCCGAGCGCGCAGGCCAGGGGTAGCAGTGGCGGGCAGGCCCCGGGCCCGGGGCTCCGGCGGGGGATCCGTGCCGTCCTGCTGGGCCCGCCCGGCGCGGGGAAGGGCACCCAGGTGAGGGGACACCGGGGAGAAGGGGCACCGGGGGTCCCGGAGCGCCTCCCGGTGAGAGGCCGGCGGGACCGAGCCGCCCGGCCTTCCCTCCCTCACCGCCGGGCGCAGGACCTGGAGGGACCGAGGTGTGGGGCGTCCCCCTGTTCTAGAAGGCACCGGGCCTCTCCTCCCCGGGGGTCTCGGGCATACGGACCCGCCGCCCCCAGGGACCCCGGCAGCGCTGGGGGGGCCTTTGTCCCGGACCCTCCTTCCCTCCAGTGCCCCGGTTCCCCCTCTCCGGTGCTCAGGGCGGTGTGCGGAGCCCTGCCACGCGCTGGCCGGTCACAGGCCATCCCTCTGGGGGACAAGGCCCCACCGTGACGGAGGGGACGAGGGTCCAAACCGCGGCTGGGCCTCGATGCCCGGGGGGGGGGGTGTGAAACCCTCACGGTGAGCTCACCCCGGGGACCGTCCTCTCCCGCAGGCTCCGAAGCTGGCCGAGACCTACTGCGTCTGCCACCTGGCAACGGGGGACATGCTGCGGGCCATGGTGGCCTCGGGGTCGGAGCTGGGCAAGCGGCTGAAAGAGACGATGGACGCGGGGAAGCTGGTGGGTAACGGGGGAGACGTGGCGGGAGGAGAGAGGGTCTGGAGCAGTCAAAATCTGCCTCTTAATTAGGAGCCTTGCTGACAAAACCCAATTAGTGGAGGAAGGGCAGACTGTAGGGCAAAGGCAGGGCTGTGGGTTCTCCTTCTCATTATCCTGCAGGAGAAACGTCCTACAAAAACATCCTTCCTCTTCAAAATTCCTCCTTGCTCGCCAGCAGCTTGTTTCCGTGGTGTCTCCTCACCTCTTCCTCTCCTCTCTTTTTTTTGGGGGGTGGAGGGAGGGCCATCTGGCATTCTGATTTTGGTAAATTCAGCCGAAACCACGACACATGGGTTGGTTCTTTCCACCGCTCGGGGGTTGCAGTCTGGGTGGTGGCTCTTCAACACTGAGGTGAAGGGTTATCCTTGGAGCCGCAGGACGTTCCAGCCACGCTCTGTGGCTCCCGTGGCCCTTCACACCATGCCTGGACCCCTGTGTGGGGCGGAAGAGTTCGTTCAGAGAGTTCATCTACGTCCCAGCTCTTGCATAAATGCCCTTTGCTCATAACTGTAAGGTAAAAATAGACTTGGGGCTGTTGCTGTGGTAGTTAGAGGGGGTGCTGCGTAACGCTGGGTGAAAGGGACGCTTTCGATCCCTGGGACATGAGAGTTAGGTTCTCTGGTGCATTCATTTTCTCAGGATCTAATTATCTTGCTAAAATGACTGAAATATCTTGAGGGGACAACAAATTGCAGCGATTTTCCCCAAAGCCAAACGGCTTGGGGGCCCATCCTGGGCATCGCTGCTGGCTGTCACGGGTTGGTAACACCCTGGGGAGATCGACGCAGGTTCCCCCCACGAAGAGAAGAGCGACGTGGCTTATCTCCAGCTTTGGCTCCAAGCTTGCGTTGCGCCACCGAGCCTGCAATATCCAGCTGGTTATGAAAGATAGGGACGTTATCGGGCAGGGACAGGGGTATCTGCCACGTGTGTGCGTGGCTCTGCAGGTATATCCCAGCAGTGTACCCTGGCTCTGAGATAACTCAGCTGGCAGCACAGCAGCAGTCGGGATGGCAGGGGTTTTATCCTCGATTACGAAGGAGGAGCCCTTTCTCCAAAAGGGGTAATCGGGAAAGCACAGAACTGAGTTGTTCCTTCACCCAAATTACCTCCCGCCCCTCCGCTTCCTGCTCCGGGGCTCTCATTTGGGTGCTGTGACAGTCTGGTCCCCAGTGCTGCTGGAGAACACAGTGCTGCTGCTGAGGAGAAACAGCTCTTGATGGGGCTGCAGCATCTGGTAGTACTTTTCCAAGTGTGGAAAAGGCACTAATCCCAGTGGTTTGCTGAGATCGTGATACAGGGAGAAACCATCCAGGGAAGCTTGATACAACAGCTACTGGGCATCTACCTTCACATGAGTTTTATGAGAGTCAATGAGCAACCCGCCTGCTTTGCCCTTCCTTTGCCCTCAGGCCTGCCTCCTGAGAGGGATGTGTGGGTGAAGGTACAAAGTAACAGGAAATCAAGGTTACGTCAATATTCCATATAGTGAATTGGTTTTAAAAAAAAAAAAAGAGGAAGCTTGTCCTAAAGCTGATGGTCCCTTTTGAAATTCAGCAAACTTTGTAATGGTGAGGTTACAGTGCTGCTCTGAGCCCCTGCACGGGCTGGAGTGTCCCTGGTGTGAAATATCTCAATAGCCATGGCTTAGAGTTGACACCCATGGCCAGGAATGCTTCCCTAATGTGGGCAGGTCTGAACACACAGCTTTTGCCCCGTTAGGGCAGTGCCCTGCGCTGGGGCTGCCGCTTCTGGGACCGGGAACGGCTGTAAAAAGGCTCTGGAGGCAGCTGGGTGTAAAATGGGGGTGTCCCTCCTGACCGTGTGCCCATCTCTCCTCTCTGCAAGGTGAGCGACGAGATGGTGGTGGAGCTGATCGAGAACAACCTCGACTCCCCTCCCTGCAAGAACGGCTTCCTCCTGGACGGCTTTCCGCGCACGGTGAAGCAGGCCGAGATGGTACGTGAGTTCCTGCTCGGGGACTGCTCTGACATCTCCTTCCCTGGAGACGTGGGGTCCCGTGCCCCTGCCTCTGTCCCTCTGAGCTGGGTGTTGTCTGTCGCAGCTGGATGAGCTCCTGGAGAAGAGGAGAGAGAAGCTGGATTCCGTCATTGAGTTCAGCATCCCTGACTCCTTGCTCATCCGGAGAATCACTGGACGGTAATTCTTTTCTCCCAAACACTGGGTGCACGGGGTGGGGTTTCCTAGTTTAGGGGAGAACATCCTAATTTTGGATCCTCCTGTGATTCTCCCAGTATTTAGGGCTTGCTGCAGTGCTGGTTAGATTTCTGCTCTGTTCGAGCCTTCCTGCTCTGATCCCTTGCCCCGTACCTGGACCAGCCTTGAACAGAGCCCCTTCATTGCCCTATAAATTGGGGTTCCTGCTATGAATCTCTGTCGATACTTGTCTTTGACCCAGCTCAGGCTTTAAGTCCAGTGTCTGACAGTGATGTCTTCGTGTTCTTAACTTCTCTGGATCTCCCTTAGGCACGACATTGCACTGCTGAACCCTGTGTCAAGGTCACTTGTGGTCGTGCGGGCACACAGACATCTCCCACTGTTTGCTGTGTCCCGCTGTGTCCCACTGTGTCACCCCCACACCTCCAGTAACACCCTTTCCCCAGTAAAGCATAAAGCAAAAATTCCTTCTCCATCTTCTAGCGCAGCTGCTTTTTTTTCACCAATCTGAAGAGGCCCTTGGTACAGAAATAGCCAGAAGAGATTTTTCTTAATTGAGGCTAATGGGGTTGCTATTGCAGATGTTTCTGTGCTGATGAGTGGCAGGTTCAGGAGACCTTGTCCTGTCACTGGGCTACTTTGCTGACACTTGATTTCTGTCTTTAGGCTGATTCACCCGGCAAGTGGCCGCTCTTATCACGAGGAGTTCAGA